TTGAGCGAAGTTGCCAAGGCTGAATTTATGTGATCAAAAATGTAGTAATTTTGTGAAATATTATTGCAGTAACTTTTCTATTTGAATGCATTTTAAAGTGTAATTTATTCCTTTTATGGCAAAGCTGAGTACATTTTTAGCAGCATTTACTACACTCTAAAAAATGCTGGGTTATTTCAACCCAACATTGGGTCAAATATGGACTAACCCAGCTGTTGGGTTAAATTTTTTAATTAAAGTTTTAACCCAAAAGTTGGTTTAGTCCATATTTGACCCAACGTTGGGTTGAAACAACCCAGCATTTTTTAGAGTGTAGAGTTTTAGTGTAACAGTCCTTCAGAAATAATTTTAATATGCTGATTTGGTGCTCAAGAATAATTTATTAGCATTAATAAATTTTTTTAAATAAAATGATTTTGATATGTTATAAATGTCTATTATTGTCACCTTTGATCAATTTAATGCATCCTTGCTGAATAAAAGTATTAATTTCTTTACAAAAAAATTCAACTGACCCCAAACTTTTAAACAGTAGTGTATATTTAATGATACTGTACTTTGGCAACGTAAAACCTCAATTTTACTATACTAATAAAGATATTTTAATCTAAATAAGAGTAAAAGTTATAGAATAAGACAAATGGTGATGAATAGTTCACCCAAAAAAACTAAAATTCTCAAGTTTAGTCAAGATCATTTGTTGCACTTAGGATTTTCTTTCTTCATAAAAAGGTTAATTTTTGAAAATGTTTTCTGTTTAGTGAGAATGATTAAAAGTTGGGTGCAGTCAAGGTCCATACGAATCGTACATTATATTCCAAGTTTTCTGAAGCAATGCGATAGCTTTATGTAAAATAAAACATAAAAATAAGTGAACAAATCATTCAGATGGTTCTGTGAACAATCAGTTCATTGGAAATATTAGACTCAAAATGATTAGTAGATGGATCAGATAACCTTACTTCTAATATGAAATCTCATGAACATGTCAGTGAGAGCTATGTTGGATGTCAAGATTTTGACAACTTAAATTTCTGTCTGTTCATCATACAAAGCTATTGAATGGCTTTAGATGACTGATTTGAATGGTCTGCTTTTATTATACTTTTATGATGCATTTTGGCAAAAGAGTGGCCAGGATATTGTTTAAAAATTAAAATCATGGAAGAATGAAAGTCATACTGAATGACATGAAGGTGATTAAATGATGACAGAATTTGCATTTTTAGGTGAACTATTCTTTATAGAAGCCACAGTATATGGTCTGCAGGACAGAAAGCTGGAAACCGTCATGAAGAAGAACGGCGCTCATGTGACAGCATATTAGACCGGGAAGGTAAATTGATATGTAAATTGAGTGTGCGACTCAGAGAATGAGGAAATATGAAGCTGAAATGTGCTAGACCTTCACGTAGAGCAGGAACAGCTTTTTTTTCTCCCGTCAGCAATGTACAATAGCAGACCCCGGTGTACCGAACATCTAAAATCTGTCTGCTCTGTGTGGCAGAATGTTCTGGAGAAAGAGAGCGAGAGTGCATTAGGCAGCACAAAGTGATTTGTCCTCATGGTGTTCAGGCCGTACTGAAAGAGCGGAGGCCTTGCTCAACAAAAGCAAGCAGCGCTCGCTCATTTATTGGAGGAACACTGGAAGATTGGAGTCGTTCATCAGGGTGATACTCGCTGCTTTGTTCTTCAAGGAGAGACATTTTGTCAATATAAGATGCACTTTTTCTCATTAGATTTCTGAGAGGCCTGTCAGCCATACGGACATACAGTGAGAACAGCTTCATAAGATATGTGGTCCTCAATATCCGCATACACACTTTATGTAATGGAAATGTATGCTCGTTATTCACATGCGCACATTTTCATTTCAAAACAGAACCTGATTGTAGAAACGGTTGCATTGTACATAGCAAGAATTGAACTATAGCACGAATCATATTATTTTAACTTAACAAGTTTTCTCTTTGATATAGTATTATTTTGATTCCCCAATGAAGATATTATTATTTGATAATGAATAATAGCCATAATTGATCTTAGAGTTCAAAATTCAAATGTGAAGAACTGGCTCCCTTTCAATTCATGAATTTGTATTGAATTTGTAAATTTAACACATCTATCTGTCTATCATCTGTCTGTCTGTCTGTCTATATGTTTGTTTGTTTGTTCACTCATTTGTTCTCTTGTTCGTCCTAACATTTGTTTTATCTATCTATCTTCTGTCCATCTACAACTTTCTATTGTCTATTTTGTGTTTGTTCTGTCTATCTGTTGCTTGTTCTGTTGTCCGTTTTGTCATTCTTTCGTTCATTCTATTTATCGAGCTATCGTTTGTTCTGTCTATTGAGCTATTGTTCTATCATAATATAGTTGTATCGTTTAATTAGTTGTCTGTCTGTCTGTCTGTCTGTCTATCTATCATCATTCTGTCTATGCATAAAATTGTAACACTTTTAACTATTTTCAAAACACAAGACTCAAACATGACTAACAATGCCATCCGACACACTAACAAACCTTCAGAAAGTGAGACGTTAGAATGCTCACTTGTACAATGTAATTGTTGTGCTTTTAAGCATCTCTATAAAAGGATGATTACATTAGATTCAGCCCTAACAAAACATTAGAAAAACTAATGCAAAATCTTTGTCACAATAAGCACACACACAGTATTTTGGTGTGCGCTTGTGTCACTTTCCTGACAGCATAGCTGAGTGCTGTCATAAACAACTGTTAAATTTGCTGATATTTTCCCATTTGTCGGATTGCATTCAAGAAAAACAATAAAGTTGAGATTTTAATGAATGGCTTGTTTTCTAGTTTTGATGACCTTCAGCCGTTCATCTTGTTATATATCACATTTTTCTTCATTCTCCTTGACATCGATGACGAGATGAGTCAAGGTTTCCACACACACACACACACGCACGCACAGGGGGATCCATCCGTCCAGCCAATTAGTGGCGTTTACATGATGACGAGCTTGTGTTTGATTCAGCCAAATAAAATCAGCATCAAACTGAAGTGATGGAGCATGATGAACACTGGCAATCGGTTACACTATGTAGTGTACACACACGTGTGCGAGTGAGGTGCGCTTGCCAAAGACAGAATCATTCTCACTTTTCTCTGCCACGCAATCACAGCTCCAGCCTGCCAACTCGCCATGGCTGGGCTCCTGTGACCCTGGCATGGGCAGCCCCTCTCCTCATCATTACTGCCAAATTAAAAGCCAGAAGCCTCCAGCTCATCTGTCTCCCTGCTGCCGACTCTTATCACGAGCTCAGCCGCTCCCGAGCGGTTACGGATGCCTTGGAACTCACCCCAAACCAATTATAATCAAAAGATGATTTTAAAATGTACTAGTCTTTGATTGTAATGAGAGAGTTCTACATTTTCTTCTCAGATTAGCTGTCATGAGTGATTCTTACTTTGAGACAAATTACCGAGGGGAGTTTAGGCACAGGAACAAGGGAGAGAAGAACCTGAAGAAGGGAAATGTAATTCCCTCATAGCTTCTCTCATTAAAGCGTAATGCTGTTTGCAAGGGAGCATTAAAGATTAGGCAGTTACATGTGGGAAGTTGCAGAGGCTGATTCGGTTCAAGAAGATCTTCACTCAAGCATCCTCATGACCCACTCTAAGGTAAAGAAATGGGTTTCAAGGCACACTCAAAGGCAGGTCAGTTAATTCAGCATCCATCTTGGTAACATCTCAAAATCAATTCCAGTCATGCTAATATTGCTCATATATTGAATAGAGAAAGATTTTTGTTGTCTCTGACACATGGCACCAGGGCTGAACATTTACGAAATTTTTTTTTTGTTTGTTTTTTGTTTTGTTTTGTTTTGTTTTGGTTATTTTACAGGCACTACTTATTTATTTGTTCATTTGTTCGTTTAACTTTTTTATTTAATCAGATTTTTTAAAGGGGTCATATGATGCGATTTCAAGTTTTCCTTTCTCTTTGGAGTGTTTTGAAAAATAATGTGTTTTTTGAACATTAAAGCATGTCAACATATTCTGTTACACCAAATACACAAAATAATGATCTTTAAAAAAGCATCATATGACCCCTTTAAAGTATTTTATTATTTTAATTACCGGAACCTTGTTTTTATTAAATGTTTGTTTGTTCGTTCGTTCAACTTTGTTGAATGTTATTTTATTATTTTGATTATTGGCACCATTTATTTATTTACTTGCGTACTACATAAGTTCTGTAACTATGTAAACCTCTTTAGTTCACGATGGAAATTTGGGCTTGAGTTTAGTCTCATATTCAATCTCCCATCGCAGACGCAAAGTCAAACATGGATTGCATGAAAAGGTGAACTTGTACAACTGAAATGTGAAACAGCTATTATTTAATTAAATTAAATGAAATGCCTTTAGGAGACATGCTTCAGGGGTCTTTTAATGAGTAAACTGCAACTGCATTCAGTTGACAAATGACTGTGAGGGGGGCTGTTGTTTTGCAGTGATGCTTAAAATGTTGCTAAGCCTCTAGGAGCTTTTATACTGGGTGTGTTGCACTATATTGCTGCAGGTGAAGGCAGACGGTTTCAGAATCGTACCCACGGAGACCCAGAACACCAGTGGGTATTTTTAGACATTCCAACGTGCCCTCGGAGACTAACTCACAGATGTACTAGTGCACTCAACACACACACACACACTCATACACATGCAAAGACTAACTTTTATCAGGGCATACACTTCCTCAAACTCTCATTTGAAGACTGTTATTCATGTTTTAGGTGGCATACTCATTCAAACGTGTTCAGACACAATTAATGCTGTATATATGGACGGAAAAACATTGATGTCACAGCTGAGTCTAATATATGAAGGGAACTTCATCTCTTCAGGAGCATGGAAATAATCATAATCTATTCCTCACTCTCATACAGTGCTGAACGGCAATTTTATGGCTGGTTTATAAAAATATACATTTTTATAGGTGATGTTTTTATCTTTTTTTTATGTTGCAGACATTGTGGCTACATTAAAGCGAAGCAAGATCCAGATGAAGAAAAAATGCAGTTTCAGAATGGGAGAGGTACGATGGCCAAAATAGCACACACAAACACACACACAACACTCATACATAATGGATTGTCAAAACAAACGGTTGTTTTTAGAGGTAACATAAATGTAAAAGGTCTCTCTTCCAGTCTCGGCTGTGAGAGTGCGATATAAATCAAAAACCCTCATGCTCACCATAGAGTTTATCTTTTCCAACTTTTTTAGGAGGCTGTTTGGGTTTACGGTGCAGTCGTGTCTTGGCATTCATTCGGACTGAAAATCCCTGTGTGAAAACCATATGTGTTTTTTTTTTTTTTCTTATTGCAGTGAAACTTCCAGGAAGCAGGACGTATATTCACCCCCACACTTACGAGGACCCAAATCAAGCCATCCGAGATTTTGCCAAGGAAATTGATGCCTCCACTATACGTATAGAGAGAGTTATAGGTGCAGGTGAGAGTCTTATTCTTCAAATTGTGGAAATAAAATGAAAATAAAACAATATTGAATCTCAAATATACATTATGCAAATCGTGTCAGTGTAGCTCCTTAAATATTGAGGTGTGTTCACTTCATAAAACGTGTTTTCAGTGTGTAAGCGTAGTTGTGTGCTAATGTATGTCAAAGAACCGAGGTTTCTATTTGAGCCCTAATTATAGAACGTCTGCCAACTGTAATCCTCACACACAAAGCTGTTGTTTGAAATACTGAGCTGTTAATACCGCATATCTCTGCATCTGAACTTGGCTTTGAAATCTAATTTTCCTCAGCGTATGCTTTCTCTGTCCGTGAGTGACTGTTTCTCCATTTTTCTGACTTTTTTTGTGTTTTATCCTGGTTCTTTATTTCTCTGTCTCATTTCAAATTTCTCTTCATCTGGCTGCAATAGTGTGCAATAGAGTTCTTTAGGGCTTTAGGAGTTCTGAATTAAACAATGCCATGGAGAAATATTCTTAGATTCTTTGTGTGAGAACAGGACACGCATTTAACCCAAACATATTTGACTGAGATGTTATCCACCATATAACAGAGCTTTCCCAAAACAATATATATACAGTATATGCCAAGTTTTCTACAAAGCTGTTCTAGATTTATGATTCTCGTGTCACTCTACAGTCCCTTTCTTCTCACTTAATAACATTTCAACAAATATCTTGTTTCTCAGAGAAAAAAAATCCTTAAATTGTGTACTTGTATAAATTACTTTCTTGCGCCATTGGCAAAATGCTTTTTTTTTATAATGAACCTCACTAAAGTTTGTATTTATGATTTAAAAAAAACAATTCAAATGTGGTCAGAAAAATTAAAACTAAAATAAAATATATTCTCTGCTGTCTTAATGAGTTGTAATATATTATGCAATAAAGAGATCTATTTTAAATTATGTTTATATATTTGGTCACACTTTATTTTAATGTCCAATTCTCGCTATTAACAAACCATTCATTCTGACTTTTGCCTCAATAAATACCTAATTTGCTGCTTATTAACCATTAGTTAGGTAGTTGTTAAATGTAGGTATTGTGTAGGATTAGGGATGTAGAATATGGCCATGCATAATATGTGCTTTATAAGTACTAATTAACAGTCAATATATTAATAATAGGCATGCTAATAAGCAACTAGTTAATAATGAGAATTGGTCCCTGTACTAAAGTGTTACCATATATTTTCACTGGAAAACAAGACAGTGAACACAGTCACAGTGTCCAGTCAAGTGAATTTTATTTACGTGTATTTTCCTTCATAAATCCACCATAGTCTGATGCTGATGATAGCCATGTGTTTCTTTCCAGGTGAGTTTGGTGAGGTTTGCAGTGGCCGTCTGAAGCTCCCCAGCAAGAGAGAAATATACGTGGCCATCAAAAGTCTGAAAGCAGGATACTCAGAGAAGCAGAGGCGGGACTTCCTGAGCGAGGCCAGCATCATGGGCCAATTCGACCACCCCAACATTATCAGACTGGAGGGAGTCGTTACCAGATGTAAGTGACTGACATGTACTGTCGTCTTCACCTTCACCCAATGGCTTTTAAATGGCGTATTGAAAAGTTTAAGTAAACATACACTGCATTGTAAGCACTGAGGGAAAAATAAGCTGTTATCAAAAGTGCTTTCAGAAATCATTTTGCGGGAATTCAATTGCACAGCTGAGTTCTTGGCTCGGTACAATTTTTATACAGCGTGGTTGAATAGCACAAGTGTGACAATATATGATTATTGTGACTACACCAACAAACCTTTTCCACCACAGCAGTCACAAAGTGTTTTCATGGCGTTGTGATTAAGAGCCAGATGGAGGTGTGCTGTACTCACTGATGTGCTCAGCCTTGGGGAGGACAGAAACAGAGCTCGACTGTTCCACCTGAATGGCTCTGTTGAATTGGATTCGTCCACACAAGAGGGTTGGAAGACAAAGACTCGCTACAGCAGATGTATTGCAGAGCAAGCCTTTAAACGTGACTAAACATATTAGCTCTAGAATTAACTTTTCATTTGAAAATGTTCAATTGGCTACTTGGGAACTTTTGATTAGGGAATGTTATGCAAAAGTAAACCTAAGTACAGTATTAAATGACTGTTAAAATTGGCGCTTAACTCGTTCCCCACTGTGTGTGCTACAGACAATTGAAGTGACTTTTCTAAACAATCAGAATTATGATTTTTTAGTTTGTAGATGATAAATATGTAACTTTTTAAAACCGCCTAGCAATTAAATGCCTAAAAAAAACACCCCAAAATCCTAGAAAACATATAAGAACTTGCCAAAAAAACGCTCAGAACACCCTAGCATTGCAGTTTTGACAATGATGTGTGGAAAACAGTCGGAGAAGAATTTGAAATAATTGATGTCCTTTAAACCTTTTTAAGTTTTTAGCAACGTTTTACAATAGTATAGATTAGGTATAATCTGTATTTCATGCAAATTCAGCAACATAAGAACATTACAGGTCAACGTTTTTAGAAACATGCAAATGAAAGTGGAAATGTTACGCTGATCTTTAAATAATGTCCTGTTCAGATTAAGTCAACTAGGCTTTTTTAAAATTCTTACAAGCAAAATTAAATGTTTAGAAACTTGTTTTCCTTTTATCGCTTGTTTCTCCAATCTTCAACTGCCGTTCTGCACTTATATGTTTGTGGCCTGATGGCGTTGTCTAAATTGGATCTTAATCGCATACAGAGATAGACTTACACAGTGTTATGTGTGTTAGAAACCTTTCCGAGTCTCATTATCTCATCAGTAATGGGGGAGAGCTTATCGGAGAATTTCAGCTTTCACCAGACGCCAAACAAAAACCCTTTCTTTCGAGCGTCAAACGTCTGCGGCTCCGCACTACCTATAGAGCACAACAATAAAAGTATGCATATTTATGACTGCATGAATATTAATCATTTAAATAGTTAATTGGATGTGTTTTAAGTGTCATAAATATTCAGCAGCGCACATATGAACAGCGACGTCTCGACATTTCATATTCATTTTTCGCTCTGTTCTCTCTAATGCGGAATGCTAATTTTGACCTTTTGTTAGCATTGGTTTGTGCAGTTTACAGAACTATTTCCTCCGTAAATCGAGTTTGCTTTTCATTTTGAAAAGGCAGACGCTGCCTAATTGCCTGTCCTCCAGTTATAAGTGGTGTATTTATGTTCTGAGCAAATATCAGGGGCTCGGGGTTAAAGCTCAGTTCAGTATCTCTCGGAGCACGCAGACTCTTTGGAAGAACAAAGTAGCGGTTTAAGTGAGAGTAATGCATTCAACATTGGGCTGCACTCTGACCTCTGTCTTCGTGGAATAGACCAGTCCTCTGTTGGAATCTAAAATAAGCCTGCTTTTGACAGGGTAAAAGAGAGTTTAGGGGAAGATGTAGAGAGGAAATATTTGACATTCTTAGAAAAAGAAAAAAAAAACTTGCTACGTGTACTGCGTTAGGCTAACCGAGACCTGTTATAGCACTTGCATTTTATTGCTCTTTTGTTGGTTTTGATTGCTTCTATTGTCATCATTTGTAAGTCACTTTGGATAAAAGCTCCTGCTAAATGGCTTAATGTAAATGTAAATGTATTCCAGCTAGTTGCTGTAGTTAAGGTAGTTGATGTACTAAAATAACTAAAACTAAAAATGAAATAAAAAAATTTATAAAACTGCATAGAGATAGAGGGAGAAATACAAAACTGCAAAAACACTACAAAATTACCAATATGTTATCTAAAATTAAAATAAGAATGGAAAATATAAAAAATTAAAATTAGGTTCAAAATATTCATAAAAAAACTATAATGGTATCTCAATGCTAAAATGTGTGTTCAGTGTGTTCTGCTCTTATGTTTACTAATTTAAGAATCTGCAAGATGCTTGTCATTTAAAAAAGAGATCATAAAACATTTTTTTTATTATTTAATTCTCTGATGAAGCTATTTCACAGATGTTTACATATAAAATTTGAATTTACACAATTTGTGTTATATTTTTGTGAAAGGTTGTGATTTAAATTTTGTCTTGTGGAATATACTTAATTATCTTTAATAAAAATTGTAACTTCAAATTATTTATTATTATTATTATTATTAAAAAAAACATGTTTTGCTCTTATGTTTAAGACTTTATTTCTCTTATGTACTAAACATCTTAGAGATTCTGAAAGGGTAAAGTGATAGTCATGTCGCTGTCCATATGGCTGCATGTATTCTGGCCTTGGGGGTTGTGAATAGTCGCACGTATGACAGCGGAGAGAGGCAATTTCACAGATCACTGCTCAGCAGGTCAGTGGCTGCAGGGCCGAGGAGAGGGCAAGGGAACAGCAGGGACAGCTCTCTAACCTTTCACTCCAAACAGTTATTCAAAACATCCATTTCTAACAGCTCCCAGCATTCAAATCCTTCCACCGTGATTGCCACTCACTGTAGCAACAAAAAAAAAACAACCTTTGGGATATGTAAAATCCTTGAAGGGTAATGCGTCTCTGTCTGTTATCGTATATTTGATGAGCTAAAAGTGTCTAATTCATAAACAGTCTTTTTGAACAGATTCTCAAACTGATTTGCAATGTGTTGATAAATGACTCTGTATTTAGCAAAACAGGCTTCCAGTAGTTATGGAAAACTTGGAAATATCAGCAAATTTGCAGGCATGAATGGACTTTTAATATATTTAATTGGCGTTCATTGCTTTTTGTGAGTGCAGTCTCTATAAACTCATTTTAGAACATTATTAAAATATCCAGTAATCTCAAACATCTGCAAAAGTAATGGAAAAAATCATAAAAATCCATTTGTGATAAACAGTAATAAACAGCAGCATTTCATACACTACAAAACAACATCAAATGACATTTAAAATGCTGCTGGAAAAACACTTTTGAATAAAGACTCAGATGAGTTGGTAAATCAAGTTTTAACTGGTTCTTTGAATAAACAGAATGAATCTAACTTCCCAGTGTTATCCTTCAGGGCTAATTTTAGTGATGTACACAAAGAAGCCTTTGTAAATGTAGTTTTTATTGTGTTTTTCTTTTTTACGCTTGTGGCCTCAGCGATCAACGAATCCAAAACAGAGCTCCAATCAACAGTGCTTTATCTGAATAATGTTCCAAACCCTCCCTCTCACTGTGATTGCTTCCATTGTTATGTAGATGGTGGGTCTGGTGCGACTAAAAGAAAGCTTTGGAAATAGCCCTTTTAATAGCTATCTCGTCATTTGTCAGAAAAGTTCTGATCTCTCCGTATCTCTCATTTCCTCCTTTATGTGCCAACAATCGCCTAATCTGGAACCATTCAAACTATCATCTCCTCTCATCGCGCTCTTTCCACCGCGAAGGATTTTCCTCTTAACGAAGTGGCTGCTATTTCAAGAAAGCATTCATTAAAACCACCGCTCCTTTGTTTAGGGGACAATGAAAGTTTAAAGTCTTGCGGAGACTCTTGTGTTAAATTACGCTAACTCTTGTGGTAGATTTAGGGTTGAGATGCAGGGAACAGCGAGGACTTGGAAAGCAGCTCAGTGCTAAGTACATCATGTGTCATTTAGTTAAAACACCATTTGGAAAATCAATAAGATTGTAAAGTGGAAGAACAGCTCCTTTTGTTCTTATGTTCATAATCGTGCCCAAAGTGGGCCATCAGGACATCAACCTGGTCAATTTCTGTTTTATCCTATAAGTTAGTTAATTGTATGTCAATGCAGAATATATGTAGATATGAGTTCTGCTGTTACCACGCTGCCAAAATAAACCACTTTAATGCAGGGTGTAAAATCAATACTCTATTTGCAATAGGGGTTCTCGCTCTATGGATGAGCCAGCAGTGAGAATGGGCCTGATTTGAGCTTGTTAAGGGGTTGTCACTGCTGGGGTCCTGATGGGACGACTACAGGCCAAATGTAAAGCCTCTGGTGTGCCGCTTTACACACAAACATATGTTTATACACACACTCAAGCTGGTGCGCCTCCCTCCCAATACGCAACTACACAATCTGCCTTGTATCTGATGTCACAAAGCATTTTTTATAATGTACATGCTCTCTAAATGTCAAATCACCTGCAACAAAGGTCTGTATCCTTTAGTGATTATTCTACAATACCGGTTAGAAGTAAATCATAGGGGTGTTGCATTACACAGATGAGGCGTTATGCGATATTGATTACTTGAGTTTGTTGCAGGTATTCATTTTTTTCCCGAACGTGCGATACAAACACGTACGTCAGAGGGACTCTGTTGGGAATAGATTTATCCAGCGATTTTCCCTGGTAAGTATGTATAGAGTTCAAGAGATTCTGTGCGAAATGCCTCTGACAGCAGCGTGCTGTGACAGCTTTATTTAAGTGGATATGGTTTTTAAGTCCCTGTCCTAGATATTACCAACACAAGCAGACCTGGATCCATGCTTCCATTTTCACCACAGACAATGACAGCTTAATCTTTATTTCTGTACTTTTATAGTCGCATTTACATTTTACATTTATGCATTTATCAGACACACTTATCC